AACGGGGCTGAATCTTTTCCCCAAGGCCTTGTTTAGATTGTAAATTTTTGCAATCCGGACACTGTAGCATGTTTTGTTTGTATTTGACAAACTTTGTTCGATCATGGACTAACTAGGCTCAAAAGATTCGTCTCGTGATTTACAACCAAACTGTGTAATTAATTATTTTTTTTACCTATATTTAATACTCCATGTATGTGTCTAAAAATTAATGTGATGGAGAGAGAGTGAAAAAACTTAGAATTTTGATGGGATCTAAACAAGGCCCAAGTACAACCTCTATCTGCATGTAAGGTCAACAATTCAACATGGGTCTTGTTTAGTTGCCAAACTTTGGATGTGTAAAGTTGACAAAACGTACTGTAGCGTCACTGTATCATTTCGTTTGTATTTGGTAATAATTATCCAACCGTTGACTAATTAGGCTCAAAATGTTCGTCTCGCAAAGTACAACCAAACCGTGTACTTAGTTTTTAATTTCGTCTACTTTTAGTATTCCATACATGTACCGTAAATTTAATGTGACGGGAAATCTTCTTTTTACATAGTGCCAAAATTAAGAGTTTGGGAGAAACTAAACAAGGCCATGCTCAAACCTGGACCGTCCTGAGCAGGCTATAGCTAAGCATAAGCATAGGCAGGTAGGTGCTCTCTCTCCGGGAAGTGCACTTTCATGGAAGTCAGCACAAATCCTTAGGTCGCGTTTAGTTTCAAACCTAAAATCTCAAAAAGTGATATAGTAGTCATCATATCGAATCTTTCGATACGTGCATGGAACATTAAATGTAGATGAAAAAAAACTAATTGCACAGTTTGGTTGTAAATCGCGAGACGAACGTTTTGAGCCTAATTAGTCCATGATTGAACACTAATTGCCAAATAAAAACGAAAGTGCTACAGTAGCCTAAAGTCCAAAATTCGGCCAACTAAACACGGGCTGGCCTTGTTTAGTTTCAAAAACTTTTCCCAAAAAGTGCTACATTAGCTATCACATCGAATCTTGCGATACGTGTATGAAGCATTAAATGTAGATGAAAAAAAACTAATTGCACAGTTTGGTTGAAAAATTACGAAACGAACGTTTTGAGCCTAATCAATCCATGATTGAACACTAATTATCAAATAAAAACAAAAATACTACGATAACATAATTTCTAAAATTTAGCCAACTAAACGAGGCCTCGCGAGTTGCGAAATTCGATTGCGACTCCTAGCTGCTGCCTCCTCCTCTGCACTCTACGTCTCTGCTGACTGTGGCAGAGGAAACATGCAAAGCTGGTGCTGGTGCTGGCCCGGCCATACATGTCGCCAGCAAGGGGTCAGGGGCGCCGCGGGGTAGCTATTGGCTCCAACATTCCCAAGATGACTCGTTTTCAAAACCCTAGCTACTGGAGTAGTAGGCGCTAGTCCTGCTTCCACCAAGACTGCCAATGAGACCATTAGCACATTAACTCTCCACTTCAATGGAACATGCTAATACTACACGTAGCTTCAGGTAATCAGGTCCATTCATCAAAGTATTTCCAACTACCAGCTGGTTGGAGCACCCTAGATAGGCCTAGGATGCACTCTAATCTGGCCATTTTTTCATTTTTTTTTTACAACAGCCATTTTTTTCATTGAGTAGCAATCCATACTGTTAAAAAGAAGTTTTTTTCTTTAATTGAAACCAGGATCTTTTGACTCGGTATTTATCCATGAAATACTAGTACTCCCTTTGTCCCATAATCATAACAATGTGTTGTAGTCGAAAAGTCAAATTAATACAAACTTTAACCAACAATTATTCAAATTATACACAAATTTAGGACATGAAACTTGCATGAATAGACTTGCATTGTATAGTGCATGTGTGGGTTGACACAAAAATGTGGCGATGCGATCAACACACAACAAGCCGGATGATCTTGACGGAGTGAGCCCGAAGATCTGCTTAGCTTCAACATAAGAACGATCAGTTTTGGGACCAAAGGCATGCCAGTCAATTTGACCCTGCAATTGATAAAGAGAGAATAATCAGTAGTTTAAGGTGGAACGTATCGGTGTTGCACCAGACAGTTCTAAATATGTGGCTCGATAGCCGATGTATAAGGCTATCGAGTAAAGAGTCAATATCCAGCATGTCCATGAATAAAAATATATTAAAATAGAAGCAATAGACCAATGTTGAATGATGATGGCATGATGATAATGATCGATATTCATAGATCATGATGATTTAATAAAGGTTAATCAACCAAAACAAGTACAATTGTAAAAGCCTTTCGTAATCGATATTCATAGATCTAGCATGGAAGCATAATCTATCGGCTAAAATAGCCGATTCAGGTAGAAAAATGATTATAGCATGTGAGCAATCGACTGTTTAGTATAACTAGATTCACACACAAACCAGATCTAATCTATTACCATTAACAGTGATGTTCGACCGAATTGATGCAGCTATGATAATGATAATGAACTAAAGCCAAGAAGTCTATAAATCTATCTATATTTCAACAGAGTCATGAAAACAAACTATAGGCATGAAAGCATAGGCAATTGGCTAAAAACAGCCGATGCAGGCATAGTAAACAATCGCAAGACGTGTCTTGACCATGAGTAAATCTATCAACCAATAATCTCGATTTAAAGCCCTACCAGTGAGGTTCGATCAGATCGATGCAGCTATGGTAGTAACGATAGATCAGATCTTACTAACTAATAAATTTGCTCAAGATTAAAACATTCCTTTGAAAACGTACTATGTATAATTAAGACTGAGATGAAACAGCCGATCTAGCAAAACGAGTCATCAAGACTAGGATCTAGGCGTGACAGAGCTAGAAGACGACCAATTAAATATGATGTGATGCCGGTTCATCTCTATCCTAATCGAATAAATTGTGATATTATTATAATTAATAAACATTAATTATAACAAGATCGATAACCGGTGAATCAACCAAAAATAGCAAGAAAGATTTGCTAATCCTGGCAGATTCGATAACTTGTGATATTATATTAAATAACAAGTTATTTATTACAAGATCGATAACTTTGATTAATATCAGTATCTACAAGAGATCAATCGGTTGATGCAGCCTTACAAATAATGATACAAATCGATAACTAACTTTTACTACAACTCGTAAGAGATCAATCGGCTGATGCAACTTTACAAGTAATAATAAAAGTCGTGACGGTACTTACAGACAAGCCGGAGGTCGATCAGTCGATGCAGCCCTGCTTGTTGAAGAACTCGCCGAGTTTATACACTACTCCTACTCCTAAGGGTTGGCGTGAAGCCAAAAAAATAATTATATTGATTGATTGAGAGATGATCCCTTTACAATAGGCCGTACCATTTATATTTATAGGGACGTGCCTGCCTTTGCATACAAGAATAGTCTAACTAAAAAAATCCTACGAAGTACAATGACCCTTCGTTAATCCTAAACTGTCAAATAATATCCCCTTGAATGACGTGTGCGAGGACTCCCCCTATGGTGGACTTTCTCATAGCCTGTATGCGTATCTTCCTTCTGGCGATATGCGGGTTTCCTTCCTTACTTTACATCTCAGCAAGCAAACATGGTGTACTTGGAGTCGTATTCTGTGATGCCTCACCATGCCTGTGAATCTCCATCTATCTGGCTCTCCTCGTTCGACGTGTCTTAAGTCTTTGTAGGCAGACACATTTATTTTGCTAAGTATGTGTATGACACCTAGCCGGCCTCATATACGCATATACAAGATACACATCCCTGCTTCTCATGTTGATGTGCACCTGTACGTCCGTATATGTGTATATTCCTTGATTTCTTTCTCTATTAGCTTGCAAGATCAAATTGACGATTTCTCTTGGACTGATCAATCCTGCATGCATGTAACTTCTTTTGCTTGCAAGCAACCACCGACCTATTTCCTTTCCTGCTTTTCCTCACGTATAAATATCCAGGTCGGCAATAATACTTCTTTCGGACTTGTCCACATAGGATCTTTGCAGTAGATTAATCAAACTGGACTGCGTCTCCTTGCCGAGTATTTGGAATATCAAATAACCTTTGTCTACCCAGCAATACATCGTAAATGACTCAGCTTAACTGAGCATGTGGCTGGCTTGCAAATATGATTTTCATGTCTTTGATATCATCGGTTGATACTTTCCTCTCCAGGGTAAGTTTACCAATTTTTGGTGTCAACAGTGTGATAATATTGATTCTTTAGAAGTAAAATGATAACATATAGTATGAGACATTAATGGTCAAAATCTATCATATTTGACTTTCTATGATCAAAAAATATCCTTATCATTTCTGGACCGACGGTAGTATATTTAATTATTTATTACTACTAATGGCCTGAATGTTTCAGGAGGAGGCAGCATAATGTTAGTTTAACCATTTGAGGTAGAGGTCTACCAACGTGCATGATCACTTGACAAGCTACCACAAATTTGCATTGTTAAGCAGGACAAAACCAAATGCATTAATTAAAGAAATTAAAATAAATACCACGCGCAAACGACAAGGGAGCCAGAAGCATGCTTGGCCCGTATATATTCTGTCGATCAGTTGTATAGTTGATGGAGAGATTGATTGCTGGCCGGCCCTCAACAAGATTGCAAGTCACAAGAGCAAAGCTACAAACCAACTCATCAGCAATTGCATTGCCTATGCATGGAGAAAGTCAAGCATGCATGCACTTTTATATGACTTTGGTTATTCTACTAGACTCTCCAATTATTTATGACGTTGATAAATTATCAGTTCAAAATCAACGTCATATACAAAATTTTAGAGGGGCTATATATACTTAACAATACTAATTACTAACCAGATCCATATACCTTAATAAACTAGTAAAGCTAATGCAAATAAATAACTAAGCAAGATCACACACGCATGCATGCATATATGCATCTGCCGATCCGCGCATATGCCTGCCTGAAAACTGATCGCCATCATCTGCTGCCGTCGATCATGCATGTCGTAGGTGAGGGCCCGGACGGAGCCGGACTAGTTATGCGAGGGAGGGTGCGTCATGGGCCCGTCGTAGTCCGCGTCCACGTCCACGTCCACGTCGTCGCTCGTCGCGCTCGCCTCCTGCTCCGTCGCAGAGGCATCCGACGACGACGACGCGCCCTCGCCGTGTGGCGACGACGGCATCGGCGACGGTGGCACGCCTTCGACGCCGCTAGGCTCCACGGCAGACAACGAGGGCGGCGGCGGCGGCGGCGGCGGCGAGCCTCCGATGCCAGCCAACTCCACGCTGGGCGGCGACGGTGGCCGCGGCGGTGCCGCTCCTCGCCACCGCGCCATCATCGCAGGGTGGTAATGCCGCACGTCGTCGTTGTAGTCGGACTCGGACAGAACCTGCATATCATACAGAGCGTGCACAGAAACAATCGCCTGAGCGCCTGATCGAGATTAAAATCGTGTCGGGATCGGAGGGCAAGTATAGAGAACGAGCTGCAATCGACGTGCATGTGGATACCTCTGCCTTGGCGGTGTGGCGGTGGTCGTGATGATGATGGATCGCCACCGGCAAAAGGGCGGTGGCGGCATCGTCGGCGCGACCAGCGAAGAGGAGGTGTTGATTCCGGCTGGTGGCATAGCAGGTCGAGGCGGTAAGCTGGAGGAGGAAGATGAGGACGTAGGCCAAGAGCATGTCTACTAGCTGCTGCTGCACGCTAGCTGCAGCTATATGCCTATATGTTCTATCTCGATCGGTCTGTGTCGCCGTCTCTCCCGGCCAGGCCGGCCTCTGTTTCCGATCCCCCCTGCAAGGATTTCTCGATCGCCCGGTTCGGGTTTTGGCAAGCTGCCAAGCTCTCCATCGGACTAGTATTTGTACTCGTTCAGGGACTCGTATACAATCAATGCTAGCTGTCAAGAGTGCGTGCTCATTTAATACATCGCGTCCCCTGAGATTTACTACTGGATTACTACTCCTTTATTACTACGTATCAATTATTCAAGACAAGTCTCAGAGTCAAAGATCTTCACCCCATCAAAATACAGCAACAACATCTATATGAAAAAAGTCAAATTTTCTAAGTTTGACAGAACTTAGAGAAAAATACAAATATTTATGATACCAAATTTAAATTATGCACATATCATGAAATATATTTTTAGTGTACTTATTTAGCATGAAATATATTGGTCTATAGTGTACTTATTTAGCATCATATTTGTTGGTACTTTTCTCTATTAGAAATCTATACATAATAATACTAAAGAGACCAAATTTCTGGCACCATAATTTTCGTCCAGCCGTGCCGCTGGCTCGTATCCGTGTCGGTCTCTGGTGCTCGCTCATGTCTGCCAATTCATCGTTACTTTAATATTGAGAAAGGAAATTAGGAGTAGGGAAGAGAATAGAAAGAAATACAGGGTTCTAGATATAAAGATGTCACAGAGAAAGAAAAGATGAAAGGGCTTTAATAGTTTTTGAAATAGATTGGGTTCCTGATACAAAATGTCCATATCCCGGTGGGTCTCTCCTGGGGCTTCTTTTTCAACCTGGGCTGAATCCTTGCAGTTGGGCCGGCTTCGTTGTGGGCTAGACCAAGCCCATGAAAGCCTTTTTTCTTTTCTTTCATTTTTTTTCTTTTTCTATAAAAACAGAGATCTTGCAAAATTAACCAAAAATCATAGAAAAAATACAAAACCAGTTTTGTTAGCTTCATAAAAATGTGATCTATCTATAGATGCTATGAATCTTGTTAGGTTTTGCTTTGTCTATAGGTGTGTTAAATCATCCTTGCATATGTTGCATGCGTATAGGTTCGGCGATGACCGATAATGTGCCAGAGGCAGACCAAGAATACGCAGAGGTGACCGAGGAGGATGTCCTCGTCGTCGGTTTTCCCAAAATCTTCACTAAGTTTCTATTGTTGGGCTCATGTCCATAAGCCCCGGTATATAACCCCTACTTTCCAGGACCTATTATGTTTGTTTGCGCATTAAGTTTTGAGGAGAAAGATTTACACCATCTGCTGTAGTTTTGATTAGAAATAAAACTTATTTTTATTAAAATATGAATTAGTCAATGGTACAACTAATTATTTCATGAACCGTCTTGGGTAGATTATTGTCTAATGAAATTGAAAGAAATGTATTTATGTAATTCCTGACGAGGGATGCCGTGTGAAAAATTAAGAGAGGTCTCCTGTCACAATCATTGGCGGACAGACCAATCCTTGACACATCAACAAAAATGTTACGGAGATTGATATGATGCGTCAAAAAAGCTATAAAGGTCGATATTGAGTCATAGAAACACATGTGTAATATGAAAAATTAAAGTTATGATATATTTATATCTAAATAATTATGCGCTTTGCAACCGAAGGAAATATATAACAAGGTGTATTTTAATTATATACAGGTTTAATAGGACATTGTTATTTATTATCAGCATTAACTTATATTATGGATGTGATGGTCATCATAAATAGATTATAAAAGCATAACGCATAAGTAGATATCTATCATTCACGTTATCGTTTTGCATAAATGTTTAATAGTTTTTTTCTTCCCGTTGCAATGTATGGGCATATTTGCTATATATATGTGATGGTTTTCGTTTATGTTTTGCAACTGTTTTTTTGCAGCTGTTTCCGAATTAGAGGAAATAGTAGTAATAGAAAAAATAGAATCTCAACTACGAGAAGCCTACCTTCTCAGTTCTCACGTGTCCTCGCCTCGGTCACCAGGACACTGCCAACGTGGTGTCTTTGAGTCCAAATCCGATTCCACACCGATCGATCGATTCTTCATTTTGATTTCTGATTTTCTTTCTGAGAGTTTTAGAATTTCCGATTTTGTTTTCGAGTATGATATTACTAGCCATGACCGAGTACAGCGTCCAGGTGCTGCACCTGCACGTTTCCTGCATGTTTGGCTGGGCAATAATGTAGACTAAAAAAGTTGCACGTTTCCGTTTATATGCATGTACTGTATGTATGAAATTAAATACTATCCACCCTATATCTATATAATATAACAATAATAACGAAAAAAAGCACGCGATCAAAAAGGGAAGAGGAGCCCACTGTTAGCCAAATTGCATGATTATTAAAGTGGTTTCCACGCTTCAATAACTAGAATTCTTTTTATTTATTTATGTTAAAAGACGACACGAATAATTTGGTGGTGAATTTATTTTAGAAAAGAGTCAATGGCTAAAAGACCCATAATGCCATGTTTATTATTTTTTATGTTTATTTATTATGGAAAAAGACCCAAAACTACCTAAGTGGATGAACCAGCGCACACGAGCAGGAAAAAAAAATAGAAACACAGATATTAAGTACCATTGTATTGTCATCGTTTTCTATAAATATTAGATAGTTTTTCTCTCCCGTTGCAACGCACGGGCACGTTTGCCAGTAATTATTAAATTTAAATAGTTTGACCTAGTATCAATATATCTATATCTATACCTATAATATAATAATAAAGAGCTAAAATTTTAGTCATTTGTTCGTCCAGCCCATTCATCCTAGCCCAACAGTCGCGGCCCACTCGTTTGTGCCCGCTGGCCTTAGCGCAAGTTGAGTCGCTGTTGTCCTAAAAAAGAGAATTTTCCTTTCCTATCTGCGTCGCCGTCGCTCGCTCGTCTTCCAGCGCCACCGCTTGCTCATCTTCCCATGCCGCCGCTGCATCGACGAGCTCGCTCGTCTCCCCCGCACCGCCACTGCTTGGGCTATTACACCTACGGTTTATTGCGGTCCTAAGAATTTATCTGGTTTAATTTAAATAAAGCTAGGTCAAGTTCTATTAAATCCAAGAAAGATAGGTTTGCAAGTCCTGGTGACCATACAACAAGTTGTACGTCATGTTGCAATACATGAATAGGTTTGCAAGTAACTTTGGAAGTTGATTTAATTTTAGATAGCTGAGAAGTTCAATTATTTTGGATCATATGAAGTACCGGTATAAGTCTACCTGTCCAAAATTGAAATATTTTTTTACTAGAATACTATGTCCCTGCATCCCAAAATATTGTCTCAAGTCAAACTATTTTAATTTTGACCAAATTTATATAATAAAACACTACCTCCATCTCAAAAAGTGTCATTTACTTTTGTTAGAAGTCAAATTATGATAAGTTTTACCAAATAGATAGAGAAGATTAACAACTTTTATGACACCAAATAAGTTTAGTATGAAAATATGTTTAATTTTATATACTTATTTGGTAATATAAATATTAGTATTTCTATAAATATAAATGTGGTCAAACTTAAGATAGCTTAACTTAGCACAGAACTAGAATGCCAAGTTTTGTAAAGAAAGGTATTAGTGAACATTTATTTTTTTAAACTAAATTATAGTGAACATTTATGACAAGAAATAAGTATAACATGAAATTTTATTTCAAAATTAATGTAATGATACTAATTTGGTCTCCTAGAGGTTGGTATTTTTTTCATAGAAATTTTGTCAAACCCAATATAGAGTTAGGACAAATTTAGAAGTATCTATATTTAAAAAATTGCCTTTTTTTTGTCTGGTCTATGATTTCTAGAAAACAATGTCAAGAGGCGGCAATACTTTGAGGTGGCTCTAGAAATCGATTTGTTTCCGGCCACCTCTACAAAAACTACTTTTTAAGGACGGTTGGATAGCCGCCTCTAAAAATAAAAAATCATTGTTGAAAGATAGGCAGTTAGAGACGGCCGGGTCAATCCCCTATGCAAATCTAGCTTGTAGTGGTGTAATAGTCTCAAACTGTAATTTGCAGCTTGTTGGAGCCATTTGTTCTTCGAAAATGCTACGGTGACTCGGTGAGGACGTCCGATCCTCCGGACGCTCCCGTTCGCGGGCCGCAACACCAGCCTAAAGGCTCAATAGTTGTAGCCTCTCATCCATAAGTCCCTAACCGTAGCCTGCTGTCTCCATTCTCTAGAAAAAAAATCACCGCAGCTCGAGCGGACGCGCTCCGTCGCGCCACCCCAGCGTTCTCCACGGCGGCCGGGGCCCGATAGCCAACATCTCCACTGTACCCGAGCATGGCTGTACCACCTCTGGTGTTACGAGCTTGCTTAGCACCTAGGTTAATACCTAAGAGAAATTAGCAAAATAAGTTTTCGGGTTTAAAAGTATAAAGCACACATGGAATTATAAACGAATCTTGTGTGACTTTCTTTCGTGAATAAAACAAACAAATAAGTGTCGCTAGTCAACCTCTCGGTGCTTAACAACTTTTAAATATTCTTATGGACAAAAGTTGTTTAGGGCTTGTTTTGGAAAAGTGTGAAGAAAGTGCTTAAAAATGCCTGATAGCAAATAAATAGCGAATAGCTTGTTTATTTGATTAAGCATGAAAAATAATTTTTATAAGCAAACATAAAATATAACTTGTAATTGGTACTTAAATAAAACTTAAAGTGCAAGTTTAGTAGATGAAATTGCAACTGTTGAATTGGTGAATAGATGTTGTTCCATGGTATTTTGGATAGCTCAAGAATTGAAAGTGGAATATAATTTCAGCTTCTAGAACTAAACGATTTTAAGTCTGGAAACCTAACGACGATGCCGTTTTGGCATTGAAGTTTTGACTAAATTTCTTAAACACTGGGTCTATGTTTTCATAGTGTTGGTTGCATCTAAGTGAGTACTTTAGCTTGGCGAAGTCCACGGTTGGGTTGGAGTTGT